ACAACCACTGGCCTAGACCCATTACTGACTGAATTCCACGGCACGTCAAAAGACTGCGTGGACGCCCACCTACAAGATGTTCAGACTTCTTACTCAAGACCCTGAAAAATCAGTTTGAGGCTCTCCATGTTCCTAGAACAAACAGATGCCATTGGGCTACACTAGCATGCAACAGGCATGCATGGAGACGTTACTGACACCCACTCGAATAAATCGATGAATAAAGGGAGATCAATTGATCAATTGATATATATTTTAGGTTTTAGAATTACTGCTTTTATGCAGCAACATGGTTGGAACTGGAAGATACTGTCTTGAGTGAAGTTAGCCAGAAAAAGAAACAAAAACAGGATGTTGTTCACTCATCTGTGGAGTACCGAACACTGGATGTGGAAATGTAATGTAAAGGGGCTGCTTAAATCATCCCTGATTCCAGAGTTTAGAGAGAAGCCGGACAAAGAAGGAATGAAATTTAGGGCGGAAGACACCCAGAAGTTTACAGGGAGCAGGGATTCACTTATGCCAGTGACATGAGTGAGGGGTATAGCCATTTACCCAAAATACAGATGCAAGAGAACTGAAAACAAGAGATCTAAGCTGTAACCACTGAAACCTAGTCAAGTGCTTGTCCAGATGACAGGTGGGGGCAGAGTGGGCACCTGGGTGGGGAGGGAATACGGGAACACGGGTGGAGGGAAGCTGATGCAGGAATTGGTGTTCAATGATGGTACGCCTAAACACAACTATCAATAACATTGAAAATACTGGCATTTTAATGAAGACTTTAAAAAACAATACAATAAAATAAATTTCCAGATTTCAGCACCCACTGAGGTTAAAGACCCTCTAGTCCCAGCATTAGGCTCCGTTATTTTTCCTGTGATTCTGAGACCATAGATGCTGTTGTGGGGATGGAGCCGGACCCCACCTTTCAAGTTGCATGCTCGGTCCACTGAGCACTCCAATGGCATAATAGTTTCAATAAGAGACTCTTACAGCACACTTGTATGCAATAGCCCTGTTCCCTAAAGAAACTGCTGTAATGTCACATCCTAAACCTGTGATTTGAGTTCTGAAATCACACAAAATGCACAATGAGAATTAGTCCAATGTTGAATGGAATGCAGCTGAATGACCAAACAGGTGGAGGACATCTCCATAGTTCTCACAGTCCAAGCAAGCCTACAGGAAGGGAAAATCTGCGGGAAGTGTTGCTGGGAGGAGCTCGGCAATCCCCCAAAAAATCCTTTTGGGTTTTGTTTTTAATCAGACCCAGTGATGCTTGGGATACCAAAGGGGATGCTGGACATCGAAGGTAGGCGGCATCTGTAAGGCAAGCACCCTCCGTGATGCACTGCTGTTCTGGTCCTAATTAACTTCACTATGGGCTCACAGTCACAATTTAACATACACACAATAAAACATTTTTTGGCGCGTACAAGCGTACAGTAGGTAGGCATTTGCCTAGCATGAGGCTGACAGGGTTTGATCCTTACACACTGCTAAAAGCAACTTATGAGAACAACCAGAAATAACTGTTGAGCATCCCCAGGCCCCATAACAAAAGAAAACTCAATTTCTTCCCATTTTCAAAAAACATGACAATGATCCAAAGGCAAACATATGCATGGTGTCAGATTGACTGAGCAGGGTCCAGAAAGGGTACCCGACCCATTAGTTGTACAGTCTGGCCAGTTATACAACTGGGAAAACAAGAGCCTTGAAACACATGGACTACTTGACATACCTGACAGATAGGGAAGAATCACAACAAAATCAAGAAAGCAAAGCACTGGATCTCTCCGTAATGAACAGCTCCGGGGAGAAGACACCCCTACCCCATGCCACACCCCCACATTACATGTTCTAGGAATGAGAAGGGGACGCTCAATGTCCAATGAGCAATGAAAAGACGTTGTGGACTGGAAGACTCCTGGGTTGGCCACATGCAAGGTAAGCATCCTACTTGCTCTACTATTACTCTGGCCATTTCTAAATAAATGAGAGAAAACGGGGGAAAATGGGAGAGCACTTAGAAAGCTTTCAGGTTTAAGTCTCAGTCATACAATGAAACACCCGTCCCTTCACCATGCCCATTTTCCATCACTAAAAACCCAAGTATAACGCCATTTCACAGCCTTCCTCTACCTGTGGGGCAGATAATTTCCAATTCTTCTCTCTACTTTGATTACATTCAATATTTTGACACAAGACCCACCATTATTATTTGGCATTTTACTCCGGCAGTTAGATCTGGTTAAAACGCAACAGTAGACAATTCTTTTTCATTTGCTGGTTATAAATAACATATGATTTTGGAATTCTGAAATTTTAACAACTAAATCTGGAGGAATTTCTGCTAAAACCTGCTGGGCTCCGAGATTTGTTCCTGAGTCTCTGGGATTATGGCCATTAAACAGCTTAATCACGAGCCAGAGAGGCGGTTCGTGGGAATGACTTAGGCTCTTGTTGGGGTGGGGAGGAATTGGCCAGCTCCACACCCATCCTGCGAGGCCCCACGTATCTTCCTGAGTGTGGGCATAAACCTGACTTTCCAAAGGCCTTTGGCGGATGGAGGCCACCGAGCCGCCAAGGAGGAGCCGTTGGCGGGACAGCACCAATTCCCCCTGGGGTGGACCTGGGACAGTAACCTACTGCAGGGTCCAGATGCATTTCTGCTAAAAGGCACTGGGTTTCGAGATTTGTCTCTGAATCTCTGGGATCATGGCCATTACTCACCTTGATCACGAGCCATATAGGTCAATCGTAGGCGCCAGACAACTCGGGGTCTCGTTGGGGCAGGGGAAAAGGGCCAGCTCCACCACCATCCCATTAGGCCCTGCATGTCTCCTCACTGCAGTCCCAAACCTAACCGTCCAGAACCCTAAGATACGGCGGCCACTGAGCCGCCTGGCACAAAACCTACTCCCACCTGAAATACCCAGCTTAGGTAACCTACTGTGGGGACAGAACACATTTCTTCTGAAAGCCACTGGGTTCCGAAATTAGTTTCTGAGACTCTGGGATCAGGCAGAGAGTTCGTACATGGGCAGTGACTCGGGGTCTCATTGAGGTGGGGAGGAAAGTGCAGAGTCCAGCCCAATCCCATGAGGCCTTGCATGTCTTGTCACTGCAGGCACAAACCTGTCTGTCCAATGGCCTCTGGAAGATGGTGGCCACTGAGCCACCAAGTGGGATCAGGCAGAGACAAACCCCCTTTCCCCCTTGTGGTGGTCTGTCGCTGGTAGCTCATTGTGGGTATCGGGCACATCTCTGCAAAAAGCCGCTGGGTTACGAGATTTATCTCTGAGTCTCTGGAATCATAGCCTTTAAGAGGTTTGATCAGGAACCAGAGAGACCTTGCCTCCAATTATATAGCTGAGCAGGAAATGGTTTGTTGGTGTGTCTTGCACATACCTAACATTGGCTGTTTACTTTCTTGGAAGACTTTGCCCAAAGTTTTTGGAGTCTGGCCAAAGGCACAGCATCAATTTTGGAGTATCTGGAAGTCTGATGGTGCCATCAGGCTGCTGATGCAGTCGCCTTACAGGCACATATTGACCTGCTGGTGGTACCATAATCCCAGGTTGTAGAAATTCTATATATGGGAAAAACACCAATAGTGGGGTTGGAATCACTGTGAAGCTACTAGGATGCTAGCCTCCCCATCCGATAGGTACCCAGCAGCACCACAGAATAATTCCTGATATGCACAACCAGAAGTAAACCTTGTGCATCAAAGAATCCCTTCCAACTGCCTTGAATAAAAGCAGCTATTAAAATTAATCCAAAGAGGGGCTGAAGTGATAGCAGAGCGGGTAAGAGGTTTGACTAGCACGTGACCAACCCGGGTTCGAATCTCAGAAACAATATGGTCCCCTGAGCTTTACCAGGAGTAATTCCTGAGTGCATAAGTCAGAAGAAACCCATGTGAAACGCTGAGTGTGACACAAAAAGCAAAAAAAAAAAAAAATATAATCCAAAGAGTAAATTTTCAAGGCATATACGTCTCATTTGTCTAAACACACCCCAAAGTGCCAAACCCAGCACTGAAGCCAATGAAAATGACTGACGGCAAAAGTGTCCCTTTCCTTTGGGGGCTGCCTGTGAACATATCTGGAGTTTTGATAAGTGTTAGGTCCAGTCCAAAGGCTCAAAACAGGGTCCTTCACAGTCTCCAGTAGGGAGGAACGAGATGACCAAGACCTCCACTCTTTGCAGGCTCCTCACACCAAGGCCTGAAGTCCATGTGCCCAACCTCCAGTGCCGTCTTGGACCTGGATCGATGGTGGCTGCAGGGGCCCTCAGGATAACGCTCCCTCACCCATGACACCTGAGTGACAGAACAGCACCCAATGCACCCCTCAAAAGCTCCACATCCACTAAAGCCTGGATATCCAGAACAAGTAACAAACAAGCGTGAATGCACCATACAAGCTGGCTTGACCTGGCGCTCAAGTGGCCAAACCAGGGTGCTCAAGCATCCCAAATCCTAACACAGGAAACACTGAAGAATGAAGGATTACCTATTTTTCCATTTTCAAAGTATTCAATGCTGCATCTTGGTTGATTTCTGCCATAATTCCCGCTAACCAGCGCCACTGGGCCAAGCCAGAAGCATAGCAAACAATAACAGAGTAGTGAGCCATTACAGCTCTGAGCAGGAGGGTGTTTATTCAGTTTATTCCGTCACCTTCCTCCTTATTTTCATCACCATGACCCATTATTTACAAGTTAACACACAAGCAATTCCAAGCACAAGAATACTGGCATAGGTGCAGCCCGGGTGAAAATCAGCAAGCTTCAGCAAAGTACTTCCCACATTCCTTACATATATACGGTTTCTCTCCACTGTGAATTCTCCTATGTAGAGTCAATTGCGAGGATGAAGTAAAGGCCTTTCCTCATTCCTTACATATATATGGTTTCTCTCCAGTGTGAATTCTCCTATGTATAGTAAGGTTTGAGGATTGAGCAAAGGCCTTCCCACATTCCTTACATATATACGGTTTCTCTCCAGTGTGAATTCTCCTATGTATAGTAAGGCTTGAGGATTGAGCAAAGGCCTTCCCACATTCCTTACATATATACGGTTTCTCTCCAGTGTGAATTCTCCTATGTACACTAAGTCTTGAGGCCAAAATAAAGGCCTTTCCACATTCCTTACAAACATAGGGTCTCTCTCCAGTGTGAATTTTCCAATGTTCACTAAGTCTTGAGGCCAAAGCAAAGGCCTTTCCACATTCATTACATATATACGGTTTCTCTCCAGTGTGAATTCTCCTATGTACATTAAGGCTTGAGGCTGTAGCAAAGGCCTTTCCACATTCCTTACATATATATGGTTTCTCTCCAGTGTGAATTCTCCTATGTACAGTAAGTTTTGAGGCTCTAGCAAAGGCCTTCCCACATTCCTTACATATATACGGTTTCTCTCCAGTGTGAATTCTCCTATGTACACGAAGGCTTGAGGCTTCAGCAAAGGACTTCCCACATTCCTTACATATATACGGTTTCTCTCCAGTGTGAATTCTCCTATGTACACTAAGGTTTGAGGATACAGCAAAGGACTTCCCACATTCCTTACATATATACGGTTTCTCTCCAGTGTGAATTCTCCTATGTACACTAAGCTTTGAGGATTCAGCAAAGGACTTCCCACATTCCTTACATATATACGGTTTCTCTCCAGTGTGAATTCTCCTATGTACAATAAGCTTTGAGGATTTAGCAAAGGACTTCCCACATTCCTTACATATATACGGTTTCTCTCCAGTGTGAATTCTCCTATGTACACTAAGCTTTGAGGATTCAGCAAAGGACTTCCCACATTCCTTACATATATACGGTTTCTCTCCAGTGTGAATTCTCCTATGTACACTAAGCTTTGAGGATTTAGCAAAGGACTTCCCACATTCCTTACATATATACGGTTTCTCTCCAGTGTGAATTCTCCTATGTACACTAAGTTTTGAGGCCAAAATAAAGGCCTTTCCACATTCCTTACAGTCATAGGGTCTCTCTCCAGTGTGAATTTTCCAATGTTCACTAAGTCTTGAGGCCAAAGCAAAGGCCTTTCCACATTCCTTACATATATATGGTTTCACTCCAGTGTGAATTCTCCTATGTGCACTAAGTCCTGAGGCTCCAGCAAAGGCCTTCCCACATTCCTTACATATATACGGTTTCTCTCCAGTGTGAATACTTCTATGTACACTGAGGCCTGAGGATCGAGTAAAGGCATTAGCATACTCCTGACATATATAAGGCTTCTCTGCACTATGAGTTTTCATAGGTCCATTAGAACTAGAGGTCTGAATGAAGGCCTTCCCACATGTCTGACATTCATGAGGTTTCTCTCCTGTATGAATTCTCCTATGCATAAGATGTGATGATTGATCAAAGGCCTTCCCACATGTTTCACATGCAAAAGGTTTCGCTCCTGAATTTATATTCATATGGTCATGATGGAGTAACCCTTGACTCACACTTTGTTCTTGGGGCTGACATTTCTGGGGATTCTGTCCACTATGGTTTTCTAAGGGAACACCACAGTGCTGAGAACATGGGGAGGCTCCTCCACATTCCTTACACCTATATGGGTTCTGCTCACGGTGACTGTGGTTGAGGGTATGTTGCTGTGAGGGACTAACTATAAACAGTGCTTCTCTCCCTAGCAGGTACCCCATTGGGGAATTTTGTGTCTGTGAACTGAGAATAACACACTCCAAGGAACTTTTTCCAGGAGAGGGCTTCTTCAGAGTGAGGTAGCTCTCACCATTCTGATCACCCTCAGAAGAAATCCCGCCTGTCTCGTCGTCCTCATGGGGCTGAGGGCAGGATTGATCAGTCGAGACATTATCATACAGTGCAGAATCAGAGACATTCCACTCGGGGTGGCAGCTTTCCTGCAGAACAACAGAGGATTCTAATTATTGACTTATTCACTGAGTCTTCCTGTCAAAAAACTGAGTCCTTCAGATGTAGTTCCACACATATGCACCACAAAAATGCAATTACTGACATATGAATTGTCTTACTATTGAAAAACTTCATGTTACCGTAAGTTGGACGCACAACATTGATGGATAGAGAGTAAATTCTGGGACTTCCCCCCCTTTTAATTTAATGAAGGAATACAACTAGAAATAATTCCTTCTATAGAAAACGGACACATCCATTTCAAGAGAAAATGAAATAGATCCACATGTGGATTTGGTTAAAGTTCTGTGTGGAACCTGTGATGCAGGGGTGAAGACTACGCTGCATCGTAACGCAGCTGAGACAGATCACGTGGCCATTGCAATGCTCTCACCACAAGTGATGCCTTTCAGGATCAATAAAGTTTTTTTTTCTTTCTGTTTTGTAGTTTCTATTCATTGGAGGTTGGGTGGGTGAAGGAGCACAACATGCAGTGTCTCGGATCAGTTCTGTGCGTCTATGCTGTCTATAAGGCGTGCTGGGTAAGGACCATCCATCCCTATGCAAAACAAGTATATTTCTCACTGCACCATCTCCAGGGTGCACAAATTAGCTTTCTAAACAACTACCACTGTCAAGCCAATCAAAAACTCACAGTATTTTTATACACGGTTGATGTCAGCACCTAGCAAAGCTATGAGTCCTCTACTCCAAGCATCAGGTGTTGGAATTTCTCCCTGACAATCCCAGCCCTCCACCTTTACAATCACATACTTGGTCCACTCCTGCTGGCATAATAATATTTCTTCTGTATTCGTGAATCTTACCAACTCACTCGTACTTGCTGACCCCATTCCCAAATCAAAGTGCTGTAATACCAAATTCTGAAGTCGCGGTTTCAGTTCTGAAACTGAAGAGAACATGCAATTCACACATGTCACACATGTCACAATATGTAGCAAAATGATGCCATGTAGTTAAGAGTACATCTCTGTGGTTCTCAAAGTCCAAAGAGTCCCACACTAAACAAAAGATTCGGATAGTGGAAAACTGTGAGGATCTTGGCAATTCTACACTAGGTTATGTTTTTGTTTTTGAGCAGACCTGGTGATGTTCGGGGAACCAGGTTATTGAACAGATTATTGAACAGGTCACATTCAGGCACTGCAAGGCGCTCCCTGCTGTACTATCGTTTAGATCCAAACTATCAATGTTATGGTCTTATTTATTCGAAAGCCATGGAAGCAAATTACAGGATTATTCTGTGATTGACAGTCCAAGGAAATGAAGAGCACCTTGAGTGCGGCTCAGACCCAAGGATACAGGACACCAAGGCCCCGGCCTCAGCAGCATGTTTCACACATGCTCAGGGCACCCATACACTGCACAGGGCCTGATTCAGGAAGGGTCCTCAGACACTCACCCGCACACACGCCTCTCCTACCCGACCTCAAAACTCCTCCTTCAAGCCAGGAGATCACTGCAGGCTTCATTCCAGTGTGCCCTGCCCCAACAGAGACAGAGGCATGGATAAGTCACAGGGAAAAGGTGACAGGTAAATGCCCATGTTTTCTTGATAAAAATCATGAACAGAATGTCCATTTCCAAAATTCCACATATTTCTAGTTATTCGAAGGTAAGACCCAAGAAAATATCACAGATACTCTAGACCTGGCCTTGTGTATGGCCGACAGGGGGTTGATTAGCACAGTATGTTTTTGTTTTTTGTCTTGTTTTGGGTCTCACCTGGCAATGATCAGGGGAGACTCCTGACTCTGTATTCAGAAATCACTGCTGCTGGTGCTCGGGTATGACATGGGTTGCCGGGAATTTAACCCACGTGCACCGCTTGCAAGAAAATCACTTTCATCCCTGTACTATCTCTCTAGGTTCAGCAGCACATGGAGTTTCCTGAGCCCCTCAAGAACTTTTCACGGATTTCAGTAAAACTAAGTGCATAATAAATCTGGAAATGGCCAAGGGTCACAAGATACCCTTATTTTTTTAGCTAAAAATGTATCCAGAAAGAGAGCACAGCAGGAGTTTCTCACGGACAATCCAGTCGTGATACCCGATATCTCCTAGGGTCCCTCATGCCAGCCAGGAGCGATCCCTGAGTGCAGAGTCCAGAAGCAAACCCTAAGTCCTGCTGAAGTCTCACAAGAACCATTAGAAGTAAATCAAAGCACTGAAATAGGGCAGCGTCTAATGAGTTGAGAGATGAAATACCAAATCCCCTGTGGTGGGAAAGAGATAGTACAGCAGATAAGACAGAAGTGCTGCACACACATGTGGGTTTGATCCCAGGCAGCCCATATGGTCTTGGAGCAAGGCCAGGTGTGGACCCTGAATACACAGGCAGAAATAATTCCTAATCCCTAAGGAAAAAAGAAAATGCAAAAACCGTCTGACTTGAGTGACTGATGCAAAAGTACTGGGGGTGAGGCAGCGACAGTTTAACTTGCCAAGAGGTTTAAATATACGGTTCCATATGTCCCCTGAACACTTGTAGGCGTCATCCTTTAGCAAAGAGCCAGGAGAACTGTGGACTGTGCCCCCTAAACAAAGGCAACAGCAAAACCAATTAAACACACAAAATTTCGTGTAGTACACAAAGTAAATTGTTGCACCAATGGATGGAACTATTTAAAGGGCCATCCATAGTGATAACTGGGCAGATAGGGATCTTCCCATGGACACAGTCGAAAACGGTTGATCTGAATCACCCCATAGGGTCCAGCTACCCCACAAGAGTAATTCCTGAAGACAAAGCTGAGAGTAAGCCCTGAGTATCCACAGGTGAACCCTAAAAAACACGAGGGAGGGAAGAGCTACTGCACGCCCGTCACAGAGCTACTGTTGGACACACAGCTTCCGCCCAACCCCAGGGAACCAACGCAGGTCTGTTCAGACATGGTTGGCTCCACACTGCTCTCACCGACAGCCTGCAGATTCTGGTAGGTCTCCAGCATCACGTCCCTGTAGAGCTTCCGCTGAGAGGCCTCCAGGCATAACCATTCCTCTGGGGTGAAGTTCACAGCCACGTCGTGGAAGGTCACTGTGTCCTGAGTCAGCACACGAAGAGGGTGGGAGTCAGAGTCTATCTTAGCCTCATTCACACTACTCTGAGGCCAGGTCCCAGGGTCCTATATTGTCGCGGGGCCCCTCCACTCCGAATAAACCAGCCTCCATGCTCACGCATGACTGATGGGCCACAAAAATCACATAAGGCAACTGGATCTGCTAAAGTGGGAGGACGTGATACAGAAGGTTCTTGGATATTTCTGCCTTTCCTGGTAACCCCCCGGCCAATTCGAGCACCACTGTTCCAGTGAGCACTGTAGAGATGATCACCTGAACACAGACTGTACGATCCAAAAGGCTATCCCTGGGTATAGCAAAAACTACTGCACGCTCACCGCTGCACCCCCACAGCACATGACCACTAGGATTGAGAACTCGGGAGTCCATATAGACAACTACTCAGAACAGTGCATGGCATGTCTGCCTGTAGGAACTCACTGCACTGGACCACCCCACATCCCGCTCAAAGAAGTTAGAAGTTTCTTGACCCCAACATCTCTACTGGCCGCAGAGATCCTTGGCTTTCTCCTTGGGATCAGCACATGCCCAGAAATCCACACACAAGATTATGTGAACGGAAGACTATATGGCCGAGCAGGTAGTCTCTCCAAAGTAGGAAGGACAAAACAGGAGAAAAGCAAATCTGGAGGCCCAAGTCATTGTAGTTGCCAGGGCGCAAACGGGGCCAACACACCCCAGGGTGCTCTGAGGCCAGTCAGTTGTGAATCCAGAGCACAGAGTCAAGAGGACAGCTGATGACAAAAACGATGCAAAAGAAGCCGAAGCAGCAGGTTGGCGTAACAGGACAGCTATTCCAGGGACAGCATGTAGGACTGGCGATCCCCAACATCCCATATGGTCCACAAGCACTGCCAGGGGCAATGCCAGAGTGCAGCACAAGAAATGATTGCAAGAATCCTTGCTCTGCCACCCCAAAGAAAACAGAAAACCCAAGATGAAACCTTTGGACCTCCAGCATCCCATTCGTCACCTAGACCTTTCAGGAATGAGCATTGAGCACTGAGCTTTGAGTACTCCTCATGCACCACTGGGTCGGCCCCAAGGCCAAATAAAACAAAACAAACATACACAAAAGCAGCTTCAAACAGCAGAATGGGACGGTCCGATCGGAAGTCTCATCTTGGAATCCGTCCAAAAGAAACTCAAACAGATGGTCCAGGAAGCC